TTTGTCCTGCATGGTAAATACCTTAAGGGGAGATTAAAACAAAAAGATATTTAATAATATTAAAGATATATAAATAATATTAAGAAAATTTAGTAAATTATTTCTGAATATGAAATTAAGGCTCGTATTTCAAATTAAACAAAAATAAGATTATAAGTATGCTAATAATGCAAAATTAAAACTTTTACATGTTAAATTACTATAAATAAATTGAGGTTACAAGGACAAAATGTTTTTTATTTTGAAAGGTTACATTTGTGTGTGTGTGTGTGTGTGTGTGTGTACATAGAGATCAGAGGAAGTCGGAGGAGAACTTGCAGGTGTCAGTTCTCTCCTACCACCATGTGGGAACTGGGGCTCCAACTCAGGTTGTCAGTCTTGGTGTCAAGCACCTTTATCTACTGAGCCATCTTGCCTGCACAGATAAAATAGTTTTAATCAACTAATCTCCAAATACTATTTTATTTTTAATGAAAAAAAATGGTTGCTGCCTTAAAGAGGACGCTGCTCAACCTGATGAACCAGTAGATAGATGAATGAATTTCAGGATCCTTAAAAATGGGGCTGGAGAGCTGGTTCAATGGTTAAGAACACTGGTTGTTCTTGCAGAAGACCCGGGTTCGAATCCCAGCACCCACATGGCAGCTAACATGTGTCCGTAACTCCAGTCCCAGGGGATCTGACAGCCTCTTCTGACCTCCGTGGGTATTGCACAACATGTGTGCACTTACCTACATGCATGCAATACACCCATACACATAAAATAAATAATTTTTTAATTAAAAAAAAGAAGACAGGGTCTCACTATGTACACCTGTTTGTCCTGGAACTCACTATGTAGACCAGGTTGCTCTAAAACTATGCAGACCAAGCTGCTCTAAACATTATGTTTTTCCTGCCTCTGACTTTGGAGTGCTGGGATTACAGGTGTGTGACACTCTATCCAGCATAAAAAATAAATTTTTCATGCTGATTAATTGAACATAATTGTTAATAAAGTACAGTATATCTAAATTTCAATCCTTTCATTCAAATATTAACACTATCGTATTCCCTTAAAGCTTTTGAACAATTATAGACAAAGACTGAAAACACAGAGATGACACCAAGAATGAATGTTAATGTAAACGATGACCTTGAACAACAATGAAGTGTGATACAGGCTCAATTGATTGCAGCCAATGGATACACTGTACGTGAGATAGTGGGGGAGTCTGTGTATCCAGGAGGGAGAGTATATGAAATACTATTTTCCACTCAATTCTTCTGTAAACCTAAAACCACTCCAAAAAAATTCTATTGAAAATGTTATACAAGTACTGGGGATTTTTGCTAAATCTGTCTTTAAAATAACTCAATGCAGCCAGGTGTGATGGCACACACTTTCAATCCCAGCAGATGCAGATGGATCTCCATGAGACTACACAGTGAATTTCAGTCCAGCTGGGGCTACAGGGAGACCCCCGTCTTAAAAATGTATATGTGTATGTGTGTGTGTGTGTGTAAAATAAAATGTGACTAATAAGCTCAATGGTGATGATAAAAAGTTAATATTAGGAGAGCGAGCCAGCATAGACGTGTTTTATTAGAGAACTTTATAGATTTTCTAAAATGACGCATTTCTCACTTCACATGTAATTGCAAAGAAATAGCTAAAAACACTGCAGCAAAATTAAAAGAACACATATTAGAGATCAAAATTTCCTGCCTTATGCCATTTAGAAGTTACTGATCTTGGGCAAATCCCTTCATTTGTCTACAGTCTGAGGCATCATTTGTAACACAGGTGATACCAATTTCACAGTAAACATTCAACAGAAACGGCAGTTAGAGGTCTATTAAAGCTACATGGGCTAGAAGGTCAATTCTAGCTCTGAAACATTTAGTGATTCTACACACCACTGTTTTACAAAAGACTGAGATACCAAAGCCTCAGCAAATCACACTTAGCATTCTTTTGCTATGCAACAAAAACATCTGTGCAGATCTGATGTGAATATAAAGATGAGCAGGAAATACAGCTAGTCAGTCAAGGCAGACACAGCTTAATTATGTAGCACTGTACAGTTATCAGAGGAAGAAATTGTCAAAAGAAAACTCAAAAACATGAGACTTTACCTTTTCTCTTGCCAAACCACTTTCCAGAAAGAAAACAGAAAGTGAATATTCATAGCCACATCTTTGTAAGTGATCTGCCACTAGGGAGTCAGAAGCACCTATTAGGAGGGCACTTCCTTCCACTGCAGTGGACTGGGGCTTCACTTGTCCATTCAATATGGGATGCCTCAATCCATGAATTAGCTGGTTCCGGAGTTGTGTCTGAAACAAACAAGGGAGGG